GTTGGGCAAGGCCCACGTTGTCACATTGTGGGGTTGTGCTTTTAGCGTTTAGGGCTTAGGGTTTAGGGTACATCTTGGGGGCGCGGGCCAGGGCTTAGGATTTCTTGGGCCAAAAGGTCCGCGGGTACAGAGCTTGCGAGCACTGGGTGTTCTTGTTTCTTTCTGATGTTGTTCTTTTTTTTTTTTTTTTTTTTGGGGGGGGGGGGGGGGGGGGTCTTTCGTCTCTGTCAATTCAAGCCTGTTCCCGGTTGCTACCACTTGGGTGGCCTCTTGGCGACTGTGTGTTCTCCATACCACAGACCCTACTTGGTGGCCCAGTGGTGCCCTTTTCCCTCTTTTGGGGTTCCAGGCTCCCTTCCAACATAACCAACCCCAAAAGGGGTGCCCTTGTTAAGTATGGTTATTGGGCTACCAAGCCTATAAACTCCCTCTTGAACCCTACAACACCTAAGCCACGACTCACTCAGGCATGTTCACCGACGGTAGCCCGTCTCAGGGAGGGGAGGTGCACGGCGTGCTGGGGTCAGGTGCCTATGAAGTCGCATTTTGTGTTTGCAGCTCAGAACCCCCTAAACCCTAAACCCTAAACTCAATTCTGAAAGGCCCTAAACCCACGATTCACCACAAGCCAAGCAAGTCCCACCCTAGACCTTAAACCCTAAACTCTAAGCCCTATAAACCCTAAACCCTAAACCTTGAACCCTGGACCCTAAACCCTAAACCGTTTGCTTCTTGGGCTTTTCCACCATCTGCCCCACACCATGACCCCCTCAAGACGTTCAGCTCGAGGTTCGGCAGGGCCTACGTGAAAGCCTAAACCCTACACCCTAAACCCCAAACCCTAAACGTCAAACCCCAAGCCGCTCTAACCCCCTTAAACCAGGGTAAGAGACCCTAAACCCTAAACCCTAAACCCTAAACCCTAAACCCTAAACCCTAAACCCTAAACCCTAAACCCTAAACCCTAAACCCTAAACCCTAAACCCTAAACCCCAACCCCCGAAACCCCCTAAACCCCCAAACCCTTGCTGCGCGAGGATGTCGGGGAGGCGATTGCACCTTTCATGAGCCTGCAGGACGGGAGCCCGTAGGTCCTCTAGGTCTAAGGTAGGCTTTTAGTATGGTTTAGGGTTTAGGGTTTAGGGTTTTGGGTTTAGGGTTTAGGGTTTAGGGTGTAGGGTGTAGGGTTTAGGGTTTAGGGTCTCTTACCCTGGTTTAAAGGGGTGTATAGTGTGTGTAGGGTTATATTCACAGGGGACCCAACTGAAAGGCCCGTACTTCGGGTTTCCTACTAGGGCAGGGAAGAACCGAAAATGTTGGATGAGGTTCAGGGGTTTACGGGTTTAGGGTTTAGGGTGGGTTGAGGGGTTGAGGGGTTGAGGGGGTTATGGTCCGGAGACAGTTCGTGCAGGTTTCCCAGGCCTTGCAAGCATGTAAAGTAGACTCGACCATCGTCTGAGAGCTCGGCTGTCTGTCCAGCGTCAGCACTTTGACATTCGGTAGTGTTGTGGGAGGTGCGGGGTTTCGGTTTGCAGTAGGTCCCACTTTCGTCCCTCGAACTGGCGCTGAGTATCCTGTGCTAAACCCTAAACCCTAAACCCTAAACTGCCCATCCCAAAATCTGCATGCAGGACAAAGAGCTGAACCCTCTCTCGCTCATGGCGAAGATCACACCCGGGTTGGGATGCTCAGCAGAGCCGCAACACCCTGAACGGAAGCCCTAAACCCTAAACCCTAAACCCTAAACCCTAAACCCTAAACCCTAAACCCTAAACCCTAAACCCTAAACCCTAAACCCTAAACCCTAAACCCTGAGCCCTGAACCCTGAACCCTGAACCCTGAACCCTTAGCCTAAACCCCAAACCCTTACCCTAAACCCTAAACCCTGAACTCTAAAACCCTGAAATCCTAGGCTTCAGATGCGGGCGCGAGATTTCTAGTCTTCAGGGGTTTTGGCTTTTAGGGTGGTTTCGTTTCTTTTTTTTTTGCGGGGGTTTCATGCCTTTATAGGGCTTCATGCCTTTATAGCTTGCAACTTCGCGTTTCTGGCCTTTATTCGGCCTTTATAGTTTTGGGGGTGTTGGGCCTTGCGATCTTTGGGCCTAGGTGGAAGTCTGAAACACGAAGCTCTAAACCCAATTGGTTTTTGCCGTTCGAAGCCCGAAGCTTCGCCCGAAGCCCTACACTCTTGAAACCCTAAACCCTAAACCCTAAACCCGAAGCCCTAAGCCCTAAGCCCTAAACCCTAACTTTCTCAGGGTTTAGGGTTTAGGGTTTAGCCTAGGGAAACCTAGAACCACTTCTCAACATCCCAAAAGCCCTAAATCCCAAACCCTACACCCTAAACCCAAAAGCCCTACACCCCAAAACCTGCAAAGCATGTTCCCTCCCCTAACCCTAAACCCTAAACCCTAAACCCTAAACCCTAAACCCTAAACCCTAAACCCTAAAACGTAAGGCCTGGAGCGTTTTTGGGCCAGCAGCTGCCAGAACCTCAGGGCTTTAGGGGCTCAAGGCTTGCGGCCCTAAACCCTAAACCCTAAACCCTAAACCCTAAACCCTAAACCCTAAACCCTGAGGCGCGGGGTTTGAGTTTAGGGTTTAAGGTTTAGGGCCAACAGTACACAATCCTCTGGATGCGGGTGAGGACTTGTCACTTGCGGGGTCTTCAGGACATCCAACCTTGAAGACACCCCCCTCCCCCGGCCCGCCCCCAACAAAAACGATGCCCTGCGCAACGGGCCCCACCAAAAGCAAGCCATCAGCCCAAGAAACCGTAAACCCTGAACCCTGGTGGTTCCATGCGCTGGTGACTCAGGTGACATCTAGCTAGACCCAGGGAGTAACTTAGGAACGAGCACGGTGCACGTTTTGGTTTAAATGGGGTTAGAAGAGAACCTGAACCCCCCCCCCCCCCAAAAAAAAAAAAAAAAAAAAAAAGGGAAGAAGGGCCAATTCTGCGTCCTAGCTAGCCTGCCTAGGAAGCTGGCCGTCTAGCTGCATCCGCAGGATACGCTGTTCGTTGAAGGCTTGCAAATGAGGATCCTTCACATGGGGCTGATCCCAGGGTCCGGTTCGACTTAAGCCATAAACCCTAAACCGCAAGCCCTAAACCCTAAACCCTGATCAACCCTCCACTATCTCAAAGTCCTCCAACGCAGCCTAGCCGAAACATGTGGAAATGGGGGGTTTAGGGTTGGGGGTGGAGCTGCCAGCACGGCTGCAACTGTTTTGGAACGGACTTGTTTAGCTTCTATGCGCCCGAAGACTTACATAACCCCATACAACTTGGGAAAAGGGTACCCCTTTTGGAGCCCTGTGTGTTGGCCACTGGTTTAGAGTGTAGGGTTTAGGGTTTAGGGTTTAGGGTTTAGGGTTTAGGGTTAGGGGCTTAGGGCGTGGGGTTGGGATGCTTCCCCTTAGACTAACAGTCTATGCATAGGGATGTTAACAGGGGGGTACTATGGTTTCTATTCAGGACCTTCGGGACTGTCAGCATACGGGGAACATCCCAACTAACCCCATACAACCCACAGGAAGTTCATGTTTCTAGGGCTTTGTCAATCCCCCCAGGCCCCGAACCCGTAAACCCTGAATGCCTTGAACCCCAAAACCCGGAAAGTGACGACAACCCAACAGCGTAAACCAGTTTCCAGGGCAGCCGCAAATATGAAAAAGCCCCAACCCTAAGCCCTTAACCCTAAACCCTAAACCCTAAACCCTAAACCTTGCACCTTAAACCCTAAACCCTAAACCCTAAACCCTAAACCCTAAACCCTAAACCCTAAACCCTAAACCCAGGCCCCACGGTGGCAGCCTGCCAGGAGCAGGCCGGACTCCTGCGAACTCAGCCCCTGATCTAGAGCGACATTGTACCCTACAGAAGGGGGTTTAGGGTTTAGGATTTAGGGTTTAGGATTTAGGGTTTAGGATTTAGGGTTTAGGATTTAGGGTTTAGGGTGTAGGGTTTGGGGTTTAGGGGGATTCTGGGGAATATCGGGTTTGGGGTTTAGGGCTTCCGGTCTAGGAAGATACCCATACGCAAGGCAAGTGTTTCGCAGGGGCTCTGCGTCACTCCATGGTATGCTCTACACCTTCTGGCCACTACCGTGACCTGTCGCAACAGAAACCCCAGAGCTCTAGAACCCCCCCTAAACCTTAAGCCCGGAATCCCTAAACCCAAAACCCCGAAACCCTAAACCCGAAGCCCTAAACCCGAAACCCTAAACCAGACCTGTATGCCGTGAGCCATTCTTAGCCCTCCGTGTAGGATCCAGGGTTCCGGGTTTCAAATCAAAGCGCCTGCCATCCAGAGTCTAAAGTTCCTCCTGGGAAACAGGAACAAGTCGGGGTTTGGGTTTAGGGTTTAGGGTTTAGGCTTTAGGGTTTAGGGTTTCGGGTTTCGGGTTTCGGGTTTAGGAATTCCGATTGTCTTTGCGCATCCTGGCACACCTTGTGCGTCGTCCGTTTTGGTTCTGCTGACTCGCGTTACCCTAAACCCTAAACCCTAAACCCTAAACCCTAAGCCCTAAGCCCTAAACCCTAAGAACACTAGCTTTTGGCGTAGCTGTGGCGTGTTCATCGCTGGTGCTGCAAGCCGTGTGCTCCACAGCTGTAGTTGATTCCTTTCATGGGCTTAGGGTTTTGGGTTTAGGGGTTTAGGGTTTAGGGTTTAGGGTTTGGGGTTTAGGGTTTGGGGTTTGGGGTTTAGGGTACCTGTTCTATAGCGCCTTGAGCCCTAAACCCCAAACCGTAAACCCCAAACCCCAAACCCCAAACCCCAAACCCTAAACCCTAAACAAGCCAAAGAGCCTCTGACCTGACCTCACAAAAAGCAGAAGCCGAAGCCTAAACCCTAAACCCTAAACCCTAAACCCTAAACCCTCAACCCTCAACCCTCAACCCTAAACCCTAAACCCTCAACCCTCAACCCTCAACCCTAACAACTCATGTAGGGTGTAGACGTCTCACCGCAGCTTCTGGGTCTTCGGGGCTTAGGATGTTCGATTTTGATGGATTGGACGAAGCGGGCAGCCCGCGCCTTGCCTGCAGTGAAGGGCACGGGATCCAACACCGTGGCTTTAGGGTTTCGGGTTTAGGGTTTAGGGTTTAGGTTTAGGGTTTAGGATTTAGGGTTAAGGGTTTAGGGTTCAGGGTTTAGGGTTTAGGGTTTAGGGTTAGGGTTTATCGAAATTGTATAGGTTTTGGGTCCCAAAATTGTTTGACCGAAAGTTTCGACCGAAAGTGTTTTTGTTTTGGAACTTAGTTTCTACCTTTTGTGAGGGGTCTTATAATATGGTGAGGCTCCTCAGCGCACGTTCGCTTGTAGAGTCTGTGTCTCGACGTCCATTGTGGGAACGCCTGGGCTGATGCGAGCAGAACACATGCAGCCTTTGCTTTTTGTTGCTCCTCACTGCGCGTTCGCTAGGAGAGTCTTTGTCTCGACGTCCATTGTGGGAACGTTGTGCGGTTGGCAAACCCCTAAACCCTAAACCCTAAACCCCAAACCCTAAACCCTAAGCCCCCTCCCCCCTGGATCCATCGACGAACCCTCATGTGCCAAGGACGTCCTCCGCTCCGCAGGCGGAGGACGCAGAGGACGACCATCTCCAGGTGGGGGCTTAGGGTTTAGGGTTAGGGTCGAGGGTCGAGGGTCTAGGGTTTCAGGAGGAGGACGATGTCCAGGTGAGGAGTGGGGAAACTTGCTCAGAACTCTCAAACCCTTGTTATTAAGCCCGAAACACCAAACCCCGAACCCCAAACCCTAGACCCTAAAACCTAAACCCTAAACCCCCTCAACCCTAAACCCTGAACCCCTAAGTTTGGCCCCTTCGTCTCTTTGTTTCTGGGTTCAGTTCCACCATAAACTCGAGGGTAACCTCTAATTTTCATGCCCAGGTTGCTCTTGGAACTACAAGCCCCATTAGCTTTAGGGTTTTGGGTTTAGGGTTGGGGTTTCGGGGAAGTTCCGACAGTTGAGCCATTCGATTCAATAGGTTGCAAGCCTTAAAGCCCCCAAAACCCCAAACACTAGGCTTCGAGCGCTTAAACCTAAACAAACGAACCCCCTATACCACAACCAGAACCCTAAACCCAAACCCTAACCCTAAACCCTAAACCCTAAACCCTCCCCAGGACCCCCCCTTGACACCCCCCCCCCCATACAATCATCCCCTATAGAACTGAAAGTGTACACTTTTGTGGGGCTTATGGCGGGCTTATGTGCTCAGCAACTAAGGATGTGATTTGAGGCTTCTCTTTGCCAGGGAGCTTACCACTATACAAACAACCCTAAGCTCGAAAACCCAACTAAACCCAAACTTCTAACCTCGAAACCCAAAACTTTAAACCCTAAACTTTACACTCTATACAAACCCTAAATCCCAAACTTTAAACTCTACACTTTGCACAAACCCCCTAAACCCTAAACCCCAAACCCCAAACCCTAAACCCTGAACCCTGAACCCTAAACCCTAACCCCAAAAGAGTCTCGCGGCAGAGGTGCGGTGGCAGCGTCTGGGCGTGGAACCGGCGCAGGTTCCCAGGCCTGGCATTCGGGTCATAAAGCTCCTCTTAATAGGAGGTTTAGGGTTTAGGGTTTAGGGTTTAGGGTTTAGGGTTTAGGGGCTGAGTGTTTTTTTTGAGCGGGCTGTTGGAACCTGCTGGTAGGTTTTAGGGTTTAGGGTTTAGGGTTTAGGTTTTAGGGTTTAGGGTTTAGGGTTTAGGGTTTAGGGTTTCGGGGTTTCGGGGTTTCGGGGTTTCGGGGTTTCGGGGTTTCGGGGTTTCGGGGTTCGGGGTTCGGGGTTCGGGTTTCGGGTTTATTGTTTAGGGTTTAGGGTGTCAAGTCTAGGGTTTAGGGTTGAGGGTTTGGGGCTCGCAGGCTCGACGGTATCAGTGCAGAAGGAGCGCTGGATGAGATGGAGGCGGTGAGGGGTGGATCAGGGTTTGGGCATCCCTAAACCCAAAACCCTAAACCCTAAACCCTCAACCCTGAACCCTCAACCCTAAACCCTAACCCTAAACCCTAAACCCTAAACCCTAAACCCTAAACCCTAAACCCTAATCCGAGCTTCTGTTTAATTGGTGGGGGCCCCCCCCCCCCCCCTCCACAATAAGGAATGCAGGGTTCCGCAATAGTTGGACCATGGCCCTGTATTGATTCTCTATTAAAAACAAAAGGCTGCAGATCCCTGAGGTGCTGTAGCTTTGCGTCTCCGCAAGCAAAACAAGAAGCCTGCCGACAGATTTTTGAACCCCCCCAAAAAAAATTCCTTTAAATGTGGGGGTTTTGTCCCATACGAAATCCACCCTAATGGAAAGTAGTCTTCCGACGGGCTTCCGGCCAAAAAAAATTTCTTTAAATGTGGGGGTATTAATTAAACTGATGCTCGGATTAAACCCTAAACCCTAAACCCTAAACCCTAAACTCCGTGGTTGAGGGTTTGGGGATCATAGGCTTTGGGTTGGGGATTCTTGGGCTTTGGGATCACAGAGTTTAAGTGCCTTAAAAAGGGTTTAGGGCTATAACCAGCAGGGCACCTACACCCACAGGTCTAGCCCCTATTTCAACCCTAAACCGGAATAAAGCCTTAAACCCTGAACCTTAAACCCTACACCCTCAAGACCTGTATAAATAGAAATTGTATCACCAAGCACAATGGTGCGCCTTCACAAACCCTGATTTAATGCCAAAACGTAGGGATTCTCCCTAGCTTGGCCCGTGGAAACCCCCCAAATGGCCAGGCCTTCACAAACCCTGAATTAAATTAAGGACAAAACATAGGGATGTTCGCTAGTTTGGTGGCCCTGGAAATCACCAAAATGGTAGATTTTCGTGATGTTTGACCATTGTGGGCCTTCACAAACCCTGAATTAAGGCCAAGACATAGGGATTTTCCCTAGGTTGGCGCCAACAGGCCAATCTTAGTGATTTTGACCATTTTGGGCCTTCACAAACCCTGAATTAAGGCCAAACACAGGGATTGTCCCTATTGGCGGCCTTGGAAACCCCTCAAATGGCCAAGTTTAGTGATTTTGACAATTGGGCCTTCACAAATCCTGAATTAAGGCCAAAACAGGGGGATTTTCGCTAGTTTGGTGGCCTTGGAAATCACCAAAATGGCAACTTTTCGTGATTTTGGACCATTGTGGGCCTTCACAAACCCTGAATTAAATTAAGGACAAAACATAGGGATGTTCGCTAGTTTGGCGGCCTTGGAAATCACCATTTTCTTGTTTTTTTTTACCATTGTGGGCCTTCACAAACCCTGAATTAAGGCCAAAGCATAGGGATTTTCGCTAGTTTGGTCCGTGGAAACCCTCCAAATAGCAAATTTCAGTGATGTTGACTATGTTGGGTTGACACAAACCCCCAAACAAGGCCAGAACATAGTTTGGCGCTCACAAAAGACCCCCAAAAGCCGCCAACTTTTTCGACCTTACAAACAAAGTTGAAAAAACCGGTGCTTTGAGCACAAAGAAACATGACAAACTCGATCAAAACCCGCACAAAATCCGCACCAAACTCTGGGCCCAAGAAAAAGCTAAAAAGCCTGCTTTTCAAAAGAAGAAAAACCTACCAAAATGGGCTATCTGGGGAGTTCCCGAAAAGGACCCCAAAAGCAAACACGTTTTTTCGAGGCCTTGAATAAAGGCTCCCAAAACCCGCACCAAACCCGCACAAGACTCTGGACCCAATCCCTATACAATTTCTATTTTCTATAAACCCTAAACCCTGAAGCCTGAACCCTGAACCCTAAACCCTAAACCCTGACCTTCGGCTTCGCTAGGCATTGTCATCCCTCCGGGCGAAGGATCTGCAGCGCGAGTGCGAGCGCGCAGGCGGCTGAGCGCCCGGGTTTTGGAGACCTTGGAGTCCAGGGTATGGGTTTAGGGTTTAGGGTTTAGGGCTTAGGGTTTAGGGCTTAGGGCTTAGGCTTTAGGGTCAAGGGCTTAGGGATTAGGGTTTAGGGTTGAATTCTAGGGAGGGTCTAGGAAGTACGGTGTGGGGTGTAGGGTTCCGGACAGCTCAGGATTCTGGGTCAATAGCGACAGTGCCGACTACCCAGAGACCCTAGTGACACTTATCAGACTTTTGCGTACCAAAGCCTTGCTAAATCCTAGTACCCAGATTGGAAACCACCAAGCCCTATAAACCCTAAATTTCAAAACCCTTAAGAGAAAGAATTCAGACCTAAACCCAAATCTCTGCATTCCGAATCACAAAATCACGCGTTTCGGGTGGGACTTATGGGCAACTGCCTTCTTGACACAAGTTCTTGGCAGAAAAGGTCACAAACGCAAGTTCAAGACGTGGGCACAAAGAAGTTTGCACCCTAAAGGCCAGGATCCGAATAGAAGGCTAACTCCTATAAGGCCTCATCCGCCACAACTCGAGTTGTGCGAGGACAACCCTAAACCCTAAACCCTAAACCCTAAACAAGACCTGTATCACTTAGGCTTTGAGGAAGGAGCTTCCCAAGGCATCACGGGCATTGATCAAGAAATCATGGGACTTTTCTTGATTCGCGAAAAACGATCAGGAGTATGCTGACACCCTAAACCCTAAACCCTAAACCCTAAACCCTAAACCCTAAACCCTAAACCCTAAACCCTAAACCCTAAACCCTAAACCCTAAGCCCTAAACCCTAAACCCTAAACCCCGTACACACCCGAAGAGGGCTGCTATTGCAGATCTGCCCCCTCTCGCCCCGGTCATCCAAATACAGGCTGTGCCTGCGGATGTAGCCCTAAAGCCCTAGGTCTCTAAATCATCGCACCCTTGTTGGGTTTAGGGTTTGGGGTTTAGGGTTTAGGGTTTAGGGTTTAGGGTTTAGGGTTTAGGGTTTAGGGTTTAGGGTTCCCTTTGCAGGAACTGACAGTACTCACTGTTCGATATGACGTGAGCAATGGGACAGAGTGTGCTTGGGACACGTAAATAGCAGGCAAGAGTTGGTATGTGGAAGTTGCATCTTTCCAAAATCTGCGACCTCAGAGCATAAAGGCCCTAACATCCTGAACCCTATTTGATCCCCAAACCCTAAACCCTAAACCCTAAACCTTAATTAGACCCTACACCCTAAGCCCTAAACACAAGACGTTCGGTATGAAGCCGTGGGCCTTGCTTTGGGAGGAATTCCAATCCCTGCCGGTGCTGAGAAAGGGGAGCTGCTGAAGAACCTCCGCCAGGCACCCCTAAACCCTAAACCGTAAACCCTAAACCCTCAACCCCAAACCCCAAACCCTAAACCCCAAACCCTAAACCCTAAACCCTAAACCCTCAGGCTTAGGAGAGTTCACGGCTCTCATGCCATCGGCAACATGCTTTGGAATCTTCTGGCGAAGTTCTGGGAGGGGCACACCTTGAAGCCTTGAACCCCCTGAAACGGTAAACAACGGCGCGCACACACATGTGTATAAGTAGATAAATAAATGTACATATATATATATATATACATATACACACACAGAGACAAGCACGCGCGTAAAAGCAAAGCACGAACAAAGCGAAGAAATCCTGGACCCCAGACGCTAAAGCCTTGCACACGCAGACCGAGAGACTTTAAATCTCAGCTTCACTGGGCTTGCTTCGGAACGGTTTGTTACGTGCCATCGGCCCTCTTACCCAAAAACACCCAGATGTCTCAATGTGTATTTATAGGGTTGAGGGTTTTAGGGTTGAGGGTTTAGGGTTGAGGGTTTTGGGTTTTGTGGGGTTTAGGGCCCTGCAACCCTCTACCTGCCATTGAAACTTAACCCCCCCCCCCCCCCAGTTCACTGTCGGGGCCTGCAACCCTAATTACACCCTAAACCCGCAACCTTTTGTCAACCCTATAGCTCGATACGCCGCAAACCCTTAATCTTTGCAAAGCCTAAACCCTAAACCCTCAACTGTAAGCCGCAAGCCTTAAATGCTTAACAAACCCGAAACCCCTAAACCCTAAACCCTAAACCCCAAACCCCAAACCCCAAACCCCAAACAATCCCCTAAACCCCAAGTCCCGAAGCCAGGTCTTCGTTTGGAAGTGCCTGGACGTGATCTCCCTCAAGGCGACGGAGCCAGGTAGGAGGGTTTAGGGTTTAGGGTTTAGGGTTTTAGGAACTATCATTGGCTTGGTTCGTCCGTGCTGGCACGTCAAGAGCCGGAGGCATTCAGAGTCTCGATCCCCTGGCTTGTCCGTTAATGGCAACCCTGTGTAGTTGCGCTTTTGTAAAGCCGTTGTGCTTCACGACCTCTACGGGCACTGACACTTTGATGGCCGTCGTTGGCTTGGGGTGCGGGGTTTAGGGTTGGGTATAGGGTTTAGGGTTTAGGGTCTAGGGTCTAGGTGTTGGGGTTTAGGACTGCCCAACAACAGCCTCCAACCCCCTTTCATCCCAGGATCTGGTTCAGAAACTTTGCGCTCGCGGCTGAGGGTGTTAGACCACATCCATATTATGGCATCTGATGTTCAGTTCCGTAAAACGGCAACCCCGGTAGACAGCCCGAACTAGAGCCCCCTACATGCCCAACCCCTAAACCCTAGACCCTAAACCCTAGACCCGAAACCCTAGACCCTAAACCCTAAACCCTAAACCCTCAGCTGTCCCAGGAGCTCTGCATCTCCCGAAACCTTTCTCAAAACGGCGGCCAAGAGGCTCGGTGGTCTCAAAGCCTAACCCCCTCAACCCGAAACCCACTTGGGGTTCAGGGTTTAGGGTTTAGGGTTTAGGGTTTAGGGTTTCCTAAAACCCGGCTCAAGATCCCAGCCACAAGCCCGACATGCCACAAGCCCAGACACCAACCCCGATCAACCCCCGAATGAACCGTAGTCTTCTGCTGGCCAGATGTGTACCACTTTTTGTGTTTCTGACACTAAGCCCTAAGCCCTAAACCCTAAACCGTGAACCCTGAACCCTGAACCCTAAACCCTAAACCCTAAACCCTGACGGGTAGGGATCAGTTTTGTGGTTAAGGGTCCTAAGCCCTCAAGGCTTTAGAGGCCTTGGCGTGTCTGAAGCTTGGGACTCTGGGTTCAGGGTTTAGGGTTTAGGGTGCCATACTTCAGGATGTGTGGTTCAGCCTCCGGCCCCAAGCCTAAGACCCCAGTTAAGCGATGAGCTTCTGAACCCTAAGCCCTAAACCCTAAACCCTAAACCCTAAACCCTAAACCCTAAGCTGGGACTCAGAGTCGGTCCTTATTCCTCCCTTTTTGTTGGGTCTAAACCCTAAACCCTAAACCCTAAACCCTAAACCCTAAACCCTAAGCCCTAAGCCCTAAACCCTAAACCCTAAACCCCAGCAGGAACTGAGACGGCGCCTGTTTGAATCTTCCTTTGGCGGCTCATCCGGCGGGTCCCGCCACGGACTTCCTGGCTGAAGCGTGTGGGAGGATGGGCTTAAGTTTTAGGGTTTAGGGTTTAGGGTTCAGGGTTTAGGGTTTAGGGTTTAGGGTTCAGGGTTGCGGGTGTAGGGTTTAGGGTTTAGGGTTTAGGGGGGTTTAGGGCTTCTTGTTTAGGGTTGAGAGTTTAGGGTTTAGGATTCAGGGTTTTATTTGCAATCACGGTTCAAGAACCTTACAACAACGATTCATTCCGGTGAGGGGAGGGTGTTGAATTGCGGTTGCGGGTTTTGGGTTGGCACGGAACCCCTCCCCCAAACCCTGAAAATCTAAACCCCACACTTCTAAACCCTAAACCCTAAACCCTAAACCCTAAACCCTAAACCCTAAACCCTAAACCCTAAACCCTAAACCCTAAACCCTAAACCCTAAACCCTAAACCCTAAACCCTAAACCTTGGCTTGGATGTTGAATTGGAGTATGGGCTCGTAGGGCCCCACAACGTTGACAATATCCCACTCCAGATCAGAACAGGGTTTAGGGTTTAGGGTTTAGGGTTTAGGGTTTAGGGTTTAGGGTTCAGCTACTTTACATCGCCACATGTAGCCCTTTCGATATAGGAGCCTGTCATAATCATCTTCGATTCCTGTAGCTGCCCAGGGCTTGAGTGAAAGGTTTAAGGAGTTCATAGGGCTGCCCGAAACCCTAAGAACCAAATTTCGGGTAAGTTAGGGTTTAGGGTTTAGGGTTTTGGCTCATCATGGTTTCAGGACTCAAGAGCTTTCTCTCTTTCATAGTATCTCATTATCCCAGAGTCAATACATCCATATAGACGAATCGTCGTGATTCTAGTTGCGATCAAGCTACTCAAGGGTTTAGGGTTTAGGGTTTAGGGTTTTTTTCGGATCACAGGGTCATAGGGTTTAGGGTTTCGGGGCATGGGTCATGGGGCTTAGTACCCGTGAATCACAAGAATACTGCCGTGTGTCCTAAACAAACACCTAGTCTAGTCAACAGGTCTGCGCTCAAAACCGCGATTAGGCTTCAGAACTTTTCCCTAAACCCTAAACCCTAAACCCCTAAGGAAACATCTTCGCCAAAGAGCGAACGTCGGCCTGGGCGAAGGAGGAGCCATCGGCGACAAAGCAGGACCTGCAAGTGCTAAGTAGGCTTCGGGCTGAGGGCTTAGGGCTTAGGGCTTAGGGTTTAGGGTAGTGTTTAGGGTTTAGGGTTTGGGGTTTAGGGTTTCGGGTTTAGGGCTTAGGGTTGAGGGCTTAGGGGCTTAGGGTTTAGGGTTTAGGGCTTTCGGCTTGCTGCTTAGGGCTTAGGGTTTAGGGTTTAAGGTTCAGGCTTTAGGGTTTAGGGTTAGGGTTCGATTTTAGGGTGCAAGTGCTAAGTCCTTGAGGCGATAGGATGTAGTCTAGGCTACCAGTAGTTGGCTTATGGTGCAATGGTCCAGGGAGGGAGGGAGGGGAAGCTACGTGTACCTCTTCGACTCGCACTGCTTCTTTGCTGGAGAGGCGTCGGTCTGTTTCGTTGTTATTGTTCGAAACCCTTACCCTGAACCGTAAACCCCTCAGCACTAGGCCGGAAACCCTAAATTCCCAAAACCCTGAAGATTCTAAACCCTAAACCCTAGAGCCTAAACCCTAAACCCTAAACCCCAAACCCTAAACCCTAAAACCTAAACCCTAAACCCTAAACCCTAAACCCTAAACCCTAAACCCTAAACCCTAAACCCTAAACCCTAAACCCTAAACCCTAAACCCTAAACCCTAAACCCTAAACCCTGCATGCTCCGGACAGGAGGTCCCAAAGCCACCGCCCCCTCGCCAGCAGCCCTCAGCAGGCTCCTGTCTCACTGCCAGGCATACTGAACGTACCTTAGGGTGTAACTATGGGCCCTCAACCCTAAACCCTGAACCTGAACCCTAAACCCTAAACCCTAAACTCTTAACCCTAAACCCTAAACCCTAAACCCTTAACCCTTAACCCTAAACCTGCCGGAACAGGCAGCAGGGTCGGTCTGGGTTGCATGAAAGGGGTTCTTTTTGTTGGGTGCATTTGACAGCGACAGCCTTCCTAAAAAATGGCAGTATTTCAGTCCTTCCAACGACAGCAGGGACCGTAGCTTATTATAATTTATAGTTGGAAGCATGGCCATCTCAATTGTGAGTCTCCATGTAAGAGGGACAGATGGAGAGGGAGGGAGAGAGAGATAGAAGAGAGCATTTCTTGGCAAAGAAAATGTTCACCCGCGTCATGGTCCCAGAGAGCAAAGCCGACAGAGCAAAGCAACTGCAAAGGGAGTGGAGTAGGTTTAGGGTTTAGGGTTTAGGGTTGAGGGTTTAGGGTTTAGGGTTTAGGGTTTAGGGTTCAGGGTTTAGGGTTTAGGGTTTAGGGTTTAGGGTTTCATTCCATCATTGCAATATCCTTCGAAATCAATGTGCACGATGACAGGCTCAACATTGGACGTAAACCCTAAACCAATAAAAACCCACAAACCCTGAAAACCCTGTAAAACCCCTAAGCCGTAAAACCTAAACTAACAGACCTCCTGTGGGAGGCTTGCCTTTCAAGGCTCTGAAGCCTCGAACTTCCTCCAGTCGTTCTTACTCCACATGCTAGAAGATTGGGTACAGCATGTCGCCTCAGCAACGGCATTCCCCTCTCCATAACCCTGCAAAGCGAACCCCAAGCCCTAAACCCTAAACCCTAAACCCTAAACCCGAAGACCATCCCAACAGGCTATGCTAAAGCTGTCCACAGCGGCGATGGGTCCCAGGCCACGCAGAGCTTTTGCTTCCGAGGGTTTCTTTGGGTTTCGTGTTTAGGGTTTAGGGTTTAGGGTTTAGGGTTAAGGGTTTAGGGTTCAGGGTTGAGGGTTTAGGGTGGAGGGTTGTGAGGGTTTTTAGGGCTTTTTGCGGGGCGTGTCAGGGTTTAGGGGATTGGCTTTGGTGCATTTTTGTGTCCCTAGATCCTAAATACCTAAGCCGAGCGACACCACCGGCCTGCAACCCTAAAACCTGTAAAGCGTAATGAAGCCTCAAAAGCCCCCAACCGCCTACAAACCCCAAGCCCCAGCCCAACAGTTGCCTCAACACTCCCCACCCTCCAGGTTTGGAGTTTGTGGCCCGGCAGACTCTGGGGTTGGGCACTCCAGGGAGTCTTTGGGGATACTTTGGTTGTTGGGATACTCAAGGGTTGGCCACTCCAGGGACCCTGTAGGGATGCTCCTGAGGTTGGGCACTCCAGGAAGGACCCTCTGCATCCGACAAATGGGCCCTTCAATAAGGTATACGGTTTGGGATCCCACTTATACTACCAGTCCGTAATAAGGATTATATTTGGGGTGTACTGAAATCCCTATTCAGGGGCTGTTCGTATAAAGGGGGAACATCCCAATTTAGGGTGTCTCCCGACGAAGAGCTGGTACAAGTTTCAGCCCAGAGCACTTCGCACAGGCACTCCGCGCAAACCTGCGGGCTACTTGGGCCGCGATAAAAACTTGTCTTTGCTTGTTTATGAGCCTCGGTAGCTTGATTTGGGGCTTTAGAGGGTTTTGGGGGATTTAGGGTGTAGGGGTTTAGGGTTTATAGGGGCTTAGGGGCTTAGGGTAAAGAGGCTATGTTGGATCGTGTTCGCGTATTGTAATCGTAAGGCTAGAAATGCGTCTGCAGAGGGTTTCGGGTGGTGGACACAGTGGGCTTCTTGTTCCTGAGGCCTCTCGAATTCTAGGTAGCCCGTTTAGGGTTTAGGGTTTAGGGTTTAGGGTTTCGGGTTAGGGTTTAGGGTTTCGGGTTTAGGGTTTAGGGTTTAGGGGCCCTAGCCACGCTTGTCGATCGCTCGGCTGGATGGCTTTCCGACAGCTAGCCCTGATCCCTCGAAACAGATTTGACATCTGGGCCCTAAGCCCGAAACCCCAAACCCTAAACCCTAAGCTCTAAACCCTAAACCCTAGGCTCTAAGCCCTAAACCCTAAACCCTAACCCTAAACCCTAAACCCTAAACCGCAATCTAGCGCGAATGAGGCTCAGGGGGTTGCGCAGCGGAGCGAGATGCCTCGACCGCCTCCTGGAGGTGGGGAGGAGGA